CGAGGAAGAAACGAGTGATTCAACCGACCCAACCAAAAAGTTGCCGAAGAAGGTTAGGAGAGGCTTACGGGTAAGAAGTGGAGGAGGATAAGGCGAAGCAAGAATGGGTGGCGGCCAAGATGATGGTTGGCGAAGGAGGAGGCATATCTCTAGAGCTTCAACGTCAAGGAGGCGTGTAAGGCCGAGAGGTTTAATATGTAGATGACGGCGACCAAGGAGAAGCTCAAGCTTGAAAAGAAGAGGTCATCCTCGAATAGAAGAAGCTTCATATCGCAACCACTTTGAAGGAGGAGAAGATGTTGACATTAAAGATAGATGATTTGGATAACGATACAAAAATGATTGTGCAAGCCATCCATTTCAAGATGTTGAGGCGGCAAAAGGATCAACTACAAGCGGAGAAGCAGGCGGCCACAAACACGGCGATCGAGAAGGCAGCGGCGGAATGAGTGATGAAGCTCGAATTGTCGCTCCGATAGGGCAATTTTTTGGGCGCGTCGTGGGATTGATATTTTTCTATGATTGGATATGTAAAATCTATGCATACTTGCCTCTTTTTAGTTGTGATTGTGCGCTATGTGATCGGGGGGGTGTTTGGTTGCATTCTCATCTCAGCATAGTTGTTTCCTCTTCGTGCATGCTCATCTCAGCACCCCTCTTCATGCATGCTCTCTTCATACATGCTCCTAGTGTATTTGTGTTAAGCTAGTGTGGATTCATGCATGCTTCATATACTCTATCGAACACCCAAAAGTGAACGGAGAAAGAAACTTTTGGATTCATGTACCCTACCAATCGGAGACATTTGAGTTTCCAATTAATTACATCTCCACGGACATTTAGAGAACAATTTTGAATGGCGGGCTCTCGCATCACCCTCCGCAGACTGGTCTCACGGATGGATGTAGTGTGGGTCTACGTTGATGCCCTGATTCCTTAAAATATTTCGAGGCCACGAGTATACCTGGTCATACCTCGGGCCGGGCCTAGCTAAGCCTAACGCAAAAAATGCAGACCCGAGCCCGGCCTAGCCCGGTCCGGCCATCAGGCCTGTTTTCTGGACCCAAGCCCGGCCCGAAACACGTAAAAGTCCGTCGGGCTCTGGGCCGGCCCGGCCCGACCTTCAGAAAAATGCAAAAACGATGGGCCCGAGCCCGGCCCAGGAGCCGTGTCGGGCCGGGCCGGGCCGGGCTTCCCGTGGCCAGGTATAGCCACGAGAGTCGTCCGTGGACCAAATCACTTCGGCACAATGGAAATTTGGGATTTCAACGGAGCGTCCATATCCATCTTGTAATTTTGTTTATATAATCAAATCATCTCTACCGGTGTGGACCATCCGACCGGGAGCAGCGGAATTCGTGTCCCTCCGCGTCCGCGGTCACTTTAGCCGTTGAAAGGTAGCCGCATGCTTTTTGGATTCTTCCTTCTTTATTTAGTCCTTATCGATCTCAGTCTCACACATGCAGATGCTCGTCCAGTAGCCTTTTCCTTTTCTTTTCTCCTCTCCTTTCGTGGTTCGTGTTTGCCAAATTTCCCCAGCAGAGACACGAAAGGAATCTCGTCATTTTACAGCGGGGGCCGGACAGACCATCCAGCCAGCCAGATCTGTGGCAGGAACCACTATTTTTGTTTTTCTGACAAGCATGTCGAACGAGATGAGATCTCAAGGCCGAATTCACTGTTTTGACTTTTTTGTAAACTTTAGCACGATTTGACCTCTGTTTGAGAAAAATTCTCGATCTGACCTTTTTCCTACCGACATCGTCTTTGGCGGTAGGTTAAGACGGCCTACCGCCGAGGGCTACGACGGTAGGACTTGACGGTGCCGTGATGTTGAAAGACTTGACGGTGCCATCGTCTTTGGCGGTAGGGTGTCGAAGATATAAAGAGCGTGTCGCGCATATCAGTCCAGAAAGTCTCTGGTGGTGAGTTGGCTAGGGTGTGCAAGCATGCTTCTGCTGGTCTTGGGTTTGAGCCTTCACAAGGCCATTTTTTTTGTTAATTTTTATTTCGCCTAGTAAAAAGATAAAGAAGTTGTCCAATTAATGTTAAGTTATGGATTGTTGGTAAAAACAATTTTTAACTTATTTGTTCATATAAAATTTCCACAAAGATGTAAACGAATATAGATCTGCAAATATGTAGGCTGAAGCTCAGTCTTGAAAGTGTATTTACCGACATCTTTTGCATTTTCTTTGATGTAGCAATTCATATGACTGGACTAATCTGTGACTGGAAGTCCAGTTAATTAGCTATTAATCTCTAATCTTGAAATGACTTGTTTGTATTTATCCAAGTCTTGAAATAACTTTGTTGAAAGACTTGAGCTTAATATACAGCCAAACTTAGAGCTTGTTATTAGAAAAGACTTGAGCTTAAGCACGTTAACTGTGATTCCTAGTTTGATGTTGGGTTGTCAATACGGTTGAAATTTACAGAAATAGACTTGTTTTCATTATGGGAAGGCCAATACTGTCTCCTGTATTGTTGTCTTGTGGTTTGAGCTCATCGCTGCTAGAAAAATTGTAGGAGATGTACGCTTGTGAGGCCATTTTTTTTTGCTGAAGAAAAAATAAACAAGTTGTCCAAACCATATGAATTGCATCAGCAAAGAAAATGCAAAAGATGATGGTAAATACACACCCTAGCCTGAGCTTCAGCCTAGATATATGCACATCTATATTCGTTTGCATCTTTCCGCAAATTTTATAAAACAGTTACAGATAAGTAAAAAAATGCTTTTACCAACAATCCATATCCTAACATTAATTGGACAACTTGTTTATTTTTTACTAGGCAGAATGAAAATTAACAAAAAAAACATCTTTCCGCAAATTTTATAAAGCAGTTACAAATAAATAAAAAATTTGTTTTGACCAACAATCCATATCCTAGCATTAATTGGACAACTTGTTTATTTTTTACTAGGCAAAACAAAACTTAACAAAAAAAAACATCTTTCCACATGCCACACGCTCTTTATATCTTTTACACCCTACCGCCAAAGACTGTGGCGGTAGGTTCAACATCACGGCACCGTCAGGTCCTACCGCCATAGCCCTTGGCGGTAGGCTGTGTTAACCTACCGCCAAAGACGATGACGGTAGGAAAAGGGTCAGATCGAGAATTTTTTTCGAACCGAGGTCAAATCACGCTAAAGTTTATAAAAAGGGTCAAAACAGTGAATTCGGCCAGATCTCGACGCGTGCGTTTCGCCCATGCCTGCCTCTGACACGCTTTCATTTTTTTGTCTGCTGCCACCCTGAAAATAGTGAAAATTGACAAATCCAGCCTTTTTAATACTTAGCACAAAAATGAACCTGATCCAATTTCTTTTTCAAATAAATAACCCGCATTTGCACGACGCCTGGGCAGGGGCGCCCGTGGCAGGGCCATGACACCCCAGCCAAAGCGTCATGCTGTCTAGTCATGTGGGCTATTTTGTGACATTTTTTGGATCACGATCAAAAAATTTTTACGAGAAATTTACAATCTATTTATCTTCAATCATTACAGTACAAAGAACAATAAAAGTAATAAAAATTACAACAATGTTAGTGGACCACCTAGCGACGACTACAAGCACTGTAGCGAGCCAAAGGCGCGCCGCCGTCATCGCCCCTCCCACACCGGAGTCGGGCAAACCTTGTTGTAGTAGACAGTCGAAAAATCGTCGTGCTAAGACCCGATAGGACCAGCGCACCAGAGTAGCAGCCATTGCCGATGAAGAAAGTCGTAGATCAGAAGGATCAAACCTATAGACACCTAAACGAAGACGACAGAAGACCAGATATAAATAGATCCACCTAAGACCAGCACCTACCGAATCCCACAAGACCAGACATGTCTTCACACGCCCTCCGACGATGCTAGACGCACCATCGAAACGAGAATAGAATGTGGGAGACATTATTCCTACTAAGGGACATAGCCGCCGCCACACAGCCCCAATCAAGACGCTAACTCTAACAAGAACGAGAATGGGGTCCCTCCCGCCGGTGGGGGGCCGAGATCATCCACGCCTCCATGGCCTAGAGGCCATCGGATATGGGACAGACTGGCGGGAGGAGAAATCTTGTTGTACTTTAAACAACGACCGCAATATGTGCAGAACAACGGATCATGATCATGTGCTAAAGTTTTAGAAAAGGGTAAGCTTTATCCACTATCATGCGAAATGCGACTCAACCTAGCTCAGATGATTAGATTCTTTGTGCTGGTACCAGTCCATCAGGTTCGAATCTAGACTTGACACTAATGCTCACATTTTTCTAAATTTATTATAGACTTATAGGCGATGTTTGTTAAGGGAAAGAAGACATCCCCGTCAACTGTGAAGGCGCCTGTGGTGATTTCATCAATCTCAAAATGTGATATCGGGCCAGTATCTCAGAGGTGCTCATGAGATAGTGTGTGCGTGCATGAGTTTATAGAGGCAAATGCATGCGTGTTTATATGAGCAACTTGCATGTGTACCGTGCTAAATTTTTTAGAGAGAAAACAAATGGTTAACACCATCGAAGGGGCACCTTCTAATCTGCATTGCAATCCATATATTTTTCTAAGGATGCGTAGCGAAGCAAAGTCCAAAACACATTGTACGCTATTCAAAGAAATACCTAAAGAAGATAAAAACAAAACACAGTAACACAGGTGAGAAGTCCAAGCCGATTATCATGCGTATACGTGGGACCATTACTACCAAGTTTTGGCCCATCCATGCTCGTGTCGTGGAGCATGGAAGGCATCGGAACAAAAATCCATCATTTTCCTCCGAAAGGGCTACCACTCACATGAGAGTGCAGCCACCCGGCCAATCAATGCCGCATCACCATACACATGCACATCCGCATGTGCATCTCATCATCACAAAACAAGAGAAGAGAAAAGAAAAGAAGAAGAAAATCCATCCACCAATTGATAGCTACACCACGTACTCGACCCCCCAAAAAAGAATCATGCATGTGAAGCGAGAGCCAGGAGGGCCCATCCATCAGGAGCTAGCTAGTCTTGGTCCTGAGCGCGCACTCCTCCGGCACGGTCGGGAACCTCTTGCGGTCGTCGCAGTAGTCGTATATCACGAGGTTCCTGGACACCCAGCCCGAGTCCCGGCGCTGGCCGTCGTCGAGCGCCCACGCCGGCGGCTGGGCCCACCAGCTGTTCCCCGTGGCGGCCGCGCACGCCGGCGGGGCCGGGCCGGACGCCCAGGCGCAGGCGTCGGCGGTGAAGTCGCTGTAGGAGGAGACGAAGGGCCCCTTGGTCCAGTCCGTCTTCTCCAGCCCCCCGCGCGTGGCCCAGTCGTCGGCGTTCCAGATGCTGGAGAAGACGTACATGGGCTTCATGATCGGGAAGAATTTGTTGGGCTTGTCCGAGTTGCGGTACTCCCTGATGGGCACCTTGTCCACGAAAAACCTGCAAACGTACATACAATATCAACTTCAAAGACAAGTTGGCAAGTGCAATCGGATCTCGATCCCAGTATAGTACAGCGCGCTGGGCTATTCAGCAACCACGGAGATGTGCGCCCACACCGCTGTATACTAGTACTATTGTCTAGTAGGAGTATATGTTGCCGCAGTTTGGAGTGCAGGATCGAGCTGAAAGTTTCTCTCTCAGCAGTACGCAGTACTACGTCCGAGGCAGCCGAGAGAAGGGAGGGAGGGGGCGGCATGTGGGTTGAGCGAGGCGGTACAGTGTGCAAACAGTGCACGGCGGCGCGCATTGTTTGGTCCAAACAGGGTGCGTGCACGTACCAAGAGCTAGTTTTGCTACTCTGCGGCCGGGAAGGGTCGGGTCCAGCCAGTGGGTATCTATCTATCTATCGGAGTGACCCAAATGCAGGGGTGAGTGGGTGGATCCATTCAATTCAACTGCCCCCGCACCTACTAAATCCGGCAGCCCCACTCCCCCACCCCAGATTACACACACTACTGGCGCAATCGGAGTTGAAAGCTTAATTGCAGTTGCAGCAAAGGAGTTGATGGCGGGCTTACACGATCTGCTTGGGGTTCCAGAGGATGGAGTAGCTGTGGAACTCGGCGGTGGGGTCGAACCACAGCGAGTGCCGCATCTCCCGCCCGCCCACGCCGCTGCGGTACACGTTCGTCTGGATGATGTACGGCTCGCCGGTGCGGTTGCCCAGGAACTCGAAGTCCAGCTCGTCGCGCTCCGGCGCTGCGTCAAGGTCCGAGCACATCTGATGATGATCAAACGCACGCAGTCCATTCACGTCAGTTAGTTTTGTCTCTCCATCCAGTTGGATTTACTACTGGTCTGGTCGGCGCTGCTGCCGGGCTGGGAATGGGGTTCTGGATAGTACTAGTACGTACGTAGTAGGCGGTGACGACGCCGGCGGAGTCGTTCCCGACGAGCTTGAGCTTCATGCTGAACCACCCGAACAGGTACTTCTGCTTCGTCTGGAACCCAACGCCTGGAAGAAGAAGAACCAATCAATCAAAGAGAAGCTACTTTAGATAAGAGATGACGATCCTAATGCATGCGCCAACCAATGGGGATGGATGGATGGATGGTGTCGACGTTTACCCGTCTTGTTGTCGAGGGAGAGGTACCACGTCTGGCCGTCGGGGGAGGTCTTGACGTGGTCCTCGGCGCCGGTGATGTCGAAGTTGTCCCCGAACGACGGGGTCGCCGCCGCATCAGCACCCTGGAACTGGAGCTGGAAGCAGCAGCAGCAAGAAGCTGCAATGGCGGCGCACGCCAGGAGAGCGCCGACGCACGGACGCCCCATCGCTTCCCCCTCCACAAGACAACCCCAAGAGGAACGAAGACACTGTATCGCCGACGACGAGTGGGGAACGGGGAACGGCAAAAGGCCACAAACAGGCACAGCAGTGGGCTGTGGAGGAGCGTGCTAATGCTTTGGTCCGGGGCAAAGCACAAGGCACAGGACACAGCTTTCTTATAGACTAGAGGGTGCTTTCATGGTTTAAGCTGCTGTTTGTTTTAAAGTAAGGCAGAAGCTGCATTTGTTTTCTGCGCTTTGGTTGCGTCCTACACTTGGGTTGAAATCGCACCGTTGCGTTGCGGCCGCCTCTGATGATTTTTTTTACTCTACTTGTGTAGTATTTATCACACTGGCTCTCTGCGTTTACCGCAGGGCAGTAGTAGGAGTACTTTATACATAATAGAGTGAATTCCACTTTTTACCCCATATTTATACATTTGTGACACTAATTACCCCTTCGAGTGAAAATTCGTCTAGAATACCCCTTTTGAAATCTTTGGACCCTTGTTTTTTGATGCGTGTCCATCAGGTAAGGTGTGAGGTGACGCCCTGTATCCAAAAACATGTGGACGGCCACAAGGAGTGGAACAGATAGACAAGAGAAGTTTGGACAAGATCGCCAATGATGTCCTCCGATCCTTACAGTTTTTTTACAAATCAATGACGCAACATGCCGATCCTATCGACCATAAACAAACAAAATGTAAAACTGGGGTAAAACCGTGTTAAAAGTCTTCAAAATCTGACATTTCGATAAAAGTTCCGCTAAATAGGGTAATATGTGTCACAAATGTACAACTACAAGGTAAAAAATGGAATTCACTCTACATAATACTACTCCAGGGCACGGCACTGGTTGCCACAGACGACGAGCTTCAGATCTAGCACTAGTATCCAGCTGCAGCTCGTGGCTGTCACATGAAGATATCATGTTCATCTGGCAAGCGGATTAATTGCGGCTATGTGAGGTCTTGAGAGTTGTGCTCTGCCACCGTCGTGCCGAGTGATGGGGCCATAAAAACAGAGGAGGATTTGCAGTGGTAACCGGGTGACACTGTGTGCTGCGCAGACTTGCAGCGGGACATGTACGGTAATCAAACGATCGACAGGAAGTCTTAACACGCTGCGAGCCCTCTGTGAGTGAGGTTCATCAACCAATCGTCGAGAGTTGAGACCAGACAGAGGCATGTGTGTCTCATGTAACAGTGAAGTCTACAACTTTGGAGTGCATCTCGTCAAATGTTGGTGATGGGAATCTTATCAAGATTTGACGAGAACTCAACCGGGATCCATGGGAGGTGGTGAGACGGGGCCGAAACCAACGGAAAGAGGGGGTCGGCAGCGCAACTGTAACCCGGGGTTTCAGGCTCCTGTCCACGGTAAAGTTCGCGATGGACAACTTTTGACTCACTCAACCGTCCAACAACACTGGCGTCCGTTTTCTCAGGAAAATCGTATCGATAAAGAAAAGAGGCTAGCCAGGACGGCGCCTCTGCAAACGGGCTGAGCGCACCCCCCAATGCTGCTAGCTGGGCCGGCCCATGTATTGTCTTTTTTTTTAAAACATTTAAAAAAGTGCGCAACCGGAGTTCAAACTAGTTTTTTTTTAAACAAGGCAAAAGACTTGCTATTTCATTGAATAAGAAGAGGTTTCGGAAAGGACATCGTCAAGCGGCTGAAAAACAAAACAATTACTCTGGCGGCATTACATTATGCAAATGCTTAGCGTCCGCAGTGGCCCAAATAGAAACTTCCTCTTCGATGCGTCGCATGACAGTCACCACCGGCGCCGCTTTGCTCCTGAAGACACGAGCATTCCTTTCATTCCACATCTCTCATCCCACAAGTAGTAACAGGGAAGACATGGCCTTCTTCAGGAGTGTGTTATCAGAGAAGACCGCATCCCACCAAGATATCACCGAATCGAACAGGAGCCACGGGGCCGTGGGGATAACAAGCCCCAGCCATGAGAAGACTGCATTCCAAATCCGGACAAAGAAAGGACACTTGAAGATCAGGTGTGCTGCAGATTCTTGCACCTGACTGCAGAGTGGGTATTTGTCACAATTTGGCCATCCTCTCCTCTAAAGCCTATCAGTCGTCCAAACTCTGTTTTGGATAACAAGCCAGGCGAAAAATTTGCATTTGGGGGAGCCCACGCCTTCCAGACTGTAGTAGCCAAACTTGAGAGCGGGAGGTCATGACCATTCTCATCAGCGCCAACGACACTCACCACTACGCCATCAAACACTAGTTGTTTCTAACTTGTAAATCTCTCTTACATTTTCAAACTGAACTTCTCCCTTTGGCATCGGAAGTGAAGTAGCAATCCCTAGATTATCATTCTCATCGTGGAAGTGGCTACTAATCACACACACCTGCGTAGTGCATTGCTTGCTAGCCAGGATGGAGGAAAGAAGTTGGATTGAAGGGGAACGTTGCCATCTCGTCCGACGAGGAGCGTCTCTCTATAGAAGTTGCCTCTTTGGTAGGTACAACAATTAACGGAGAAGCCAA